ATGGTCCTCCCTAGTGGCTCCCAGGCAACTTGTTAGAGGGTGGGGCTGGGAGTTGCCCATGGCCAGATGAAAGGACGGGTGGGCGGACTGGATCCAGCCTGCTGACATGTTCAGTACCCTGGTCTAGCCCTGCTCAGGGGCAAACTGCAGTCTGAAGTGGCCACTCAGCATTAGCAAGAGGGGACGGACCTGCTGCCTTTGCCTATCCTGGCTGTTTCTCTGCAGGCTTAGTACCCTCAGGCCCTACAGCCTGATTGTGACCTCAGGCCAGAGCTCCCCTGCTCTGTCTGCCTGCCTGCCTGCCTTTCCCCAGCTTCCCCAGGAACCAGATCCCTCCTGCTCCCCCAGCTAAAGCAGGAAGATCTGTGCTGTCCTCCCTCTAGGAGCCCTTATTTATACAGGCCTAGCTGGGCCCTAATTAGTTACACCTGCCTCAGCTGTGTCCTACATGCTCTCAGCCTTCTCCCAAGGATGGGTTTTATCCCTTAAAGGGCCAGTGCCCCCGTCATTCTCCCCAATAACCTTCAAAATGCCCCCACAGCCTCATATGGGTCAGGAGGCTCATAGTTTGAACACTGCCCCATAGAAGTTGCTGGGCCAGAGTGCCCTGGCAGGGGCTGTTGCTCTCCCTGGGTGTGGATAACACAGTGGCACAGGCTGGGCTGACACTGGAAGCCCTGGCTCTCCTGCAGCCTCTGTACAGGTTGGTTTTCTTGTACCACAAGGTCATAGATGGGGTAGCCCTGCGCATGCGTCTGCTTGGCTGTCACGGTGCTGACCACCTGCATGTAGCCACGGCCACAGTACTGGGGCAGGGTGTAGCCGTGCACCATGGCACCAAGGGGTCCATGGGGCTTTAGCTGACAGGGTGGCTGCTGGGATTCAGGAGGCAGAAGCTGGGGAAGTGCTGGAACAGGCTGGACAGGTGTCACCACACCCTTGGTGCCTCTGTAGGGCCATGTCTTATTTAGCAGGTCGGTGTGGTGACATCCAGGGGTCAGCATCTCATGGCAGAGTCCAGCCTGGGGGCACAGGGAGCAGGGTAGGAGCAAGTGGAGGGAGGAACAGGTGGGCTCAGGGGCTGGGGAATAGGGCACAGAGTCCTGCCAAACTGGCCTGACTCCCTGGCTGGTTTAGTGACGTGTGGGACTTGGGGTCTTGCCCCACTAAGGCAGACGCGAGCAGCGTTGTCATACCCCCTTCGAGACTCACTGATCAGGGACATCTCATCACTGCAGCTTCACCCCATTCCCAGAGTGCCCCTGGGGGCCAGAACCTGAGCTGGGGGACCGAGTGAGCTGCCAATGCCTGAGCAGGCTCTGGGGAGGGAAGGCACCTCTGGTCTGGGCAGGCATTTTGCCTGACGGGGCCATTTAAAGGGCCAGGTGGCTGGTGGAAGAAGTGAGGCTGCCTCTCACTCTCCCTTTCTCTTCCCTTCCTCCTCCTGCCTCTCACACTCTCTCTGCTCGCCTCTGTCTCCATCGGGGATGCGCACTCGTCCAGGCCCCACCCCCTGGGCGTGTACGTCACCACCCCGCACCCACCTTAGCCTCCCACTCTGGTGCTCGGCTGACTTCTGTGCCTTTCAGTTGGGTCGCTGTGCGGGAACAAGCAGAGCAAACGGCCTCTCTGTCTCTTCCTCTTCTCCTCCTACTGCCTCACCCTCTCTCTCTCTCAGCTCTTGCTCGCCTCCTGCCTCTCTCTCCTTCTCTCTCTTCCTCTTCTCTCCCTCCCACCTCTCACTCTGTCTACATCTAGACTATATCCCTTTTTCGTAAAAGGGATGTAAAGTAGACGTATCACAATTGCTAATGAAGCGGGGATTTAAATCTCCCCCGCTTCATTAGCATAAAAATAGCTGCCGCTTCTTTTCGGCACGGAGCTTTGCTGGAAAAAAGCGCCAATCTAGAAGCTGATCTTTCGAAAAATAAAGCCTTTTCCGAAAGATCCCTTATCCCTCTTGAAATAAGGGATAAAGGATCTTTCGGAAAAGGCTTTATTTTCCGCAAGATCAGCGTCTAGACTGGCGCTTTTT